GTAGTTATCTATAGATGTAGCACACCATGTACACTTTAGTTATTATTTATTTTAATGTTCTGAATCTTATCATTTGCTGTACAAAAAAAAAGTGTGTGGCATACCAGACATAAACTAGAACGATTTGTATCATAAGCTAACGATATGATTTCCTTTTGTTGTAATCGTTACTTTGTAATATATTTTTAGTCACTTAAGCTACCCGAAAATATTGTTATATTGTTATCTTGTGCACCACTTTGATTTGTTGTCGCTTGTTTGTCTTGTCTATGTAGCTTAGAAGCCTGCTTTTGTCTTGCTCTGTCTTGTCTTTAAGTTGTTTGCTGCACTCCGGCATAGTTATATGTAGTTAACACTTAACCAAATAACAATTAGTTGTTAAACAAAACGAGAAAAACACAAAAATACGAAAACATATTCATGCAAATACTACAAAACACGAGCCGAAAACCCAAAATTGCATTTGTAATTAATCTTACTTTTTGTACGGAATTTATTTATTCTTGAATGTTGTTTCCACCTCTCAAGATGAGCAATCAAAACGCTTGTTGGCGGTTTATTCACTGAATGTTTCTACCTAATTATAATATGCTTGTTTCGAATATTGAGGGTATTCATGGTGAAGTTTAGTTGGATCAAGGATCTTAAATTTATGATGAACACCCTTGAATATCTTCTTCATCATTTTGTATAATCTTGCACTTCTTCCACTGCGCTGATTTTGCTGCATTTTACATATCACTAAACATATTGTTATTGTTAACACGTTTTTATTTTGTCAACTTTTGTTTGTTTAATATCAATTTTTTTGATTTCGCCTTTTAAATTTCTTAAATTAAGTGAATCAAGCAAAAATTACAGCTAGCTAAAAAAAATTATTTCAATTGCCAAAAACTCTAATGCGATAATTTTGAATCCCCCATCGTCTTTCCACCACCACCACCAACAACAACAACAACAACTACTACACGACAACAACATCAACCAACCAACCAACCAATCTACCAAAAATCAAACAATTGCAATGAAAACATGTACGAACTGGAAAAAAAAAATGTGTTAGGTCCATGAACGCCAAACCGCACGCATGCGCACTCGCTCCGAATGGTTCCTGGGTCCCCGGGATGCGGTGGTCACGTTGCAATTGCCGGCGGACACGTGCAGCAATTGCTGCCTGGCCGCGGCCGCCGGTTATTTGGGCGGCGGCAGCACCAGGGACATGCGACAGGCTCAAACGGAAGGCGAAAGAAATCAGGCGGCGTGGCTCTACCACTTTTATCGCAGGCAGCAACAGCAGCAGCAGCAACAGCAGCAACAGGAGCAGGAGCAACACTTTGACGACATGATGGACACCGAGGACAGCTACGGACAGCAGAAGGAGCAGCAGCAGCAGCAGCAGGAGCAGCAGCAACAGCAACAGATACATTCCAAGGGCCTCTTAAGGCCACCGCCCATGCAACATCAGCAGCAACAGCAGCAACGTCGCCTGCTGCTGGACGTCAATTCGGGTAGTTATAATGCCGGACTAACTACGCTCACCACCACCACCACCAACAACAACAACAACATTAATTTCGGCGACGATCTGGCCTTTTATCTACACGAACCGCTCGACAACACATGCTACTACTCCAGTCATTGCTTGAGCCGGCTGCAACCGGTTGTTGTTGTCCACGAGGAGCAGCGACTGGTGGAGGTTACCGACAGCGATGATGATTCTTTGGATGGCGGTGGCCCACACACTTTGCTGGCCCACGAGTTGCAACAGCATGTGGAGCCCAGGCAGGCGGCCATGTTGCTGCTGCGAAACTCTACGCCACAGCAGCAACATCGCAGCAGCAATGCTGCATCCCTGTACCAGTCCTTTGAGGTGACCTCCACCGAACTGTCCCACGGTAGCGACAACAACAACCGGGTTAGCCAAGACAACAGCAGCACAGGCAGCAACAATAATAACCACAACAACTTTGCCACAGTCATTTTTAATGTTTTGGACTTTTTGTTTTGATAAAAAAAAAAAAAAAAAAAAAAAAAGAACAAAAGAACAAAAGCGAGCTCTAAAGATCGGAATGATATGTCTTGTGTTTTGTAGCTACCAATTGCATCCAATCATGAATTTTGCTTATGTCCAACTAATGCTAAACATTTATATTTAAGGTCTTAGTTTATTTACGTTTTGTTAAAAGGAACTCAAAGTGTTTATCATGTGTACGTTTTTAAGATGGAATCAAAAGGGTGTACCCAATTCGATATTAATAACCCCCAACCAAGCATGATAAGCCAAGATTTCTTTGTTGCCACCACAAGCCCATTGGAATTTTGTTAAATTTACCATTTTTATTTTGTATTATTTTTGATTTAGCTATCAACTATATTAATTATTTATTTATATTGTGTAATTTGCTCTCATTTGTCCATTTATTATTTTGCTTTGTAACAATAAACTTTTTTATTTATTTATACTGTGTATAACCAAAACCGAAAGATGTTGAAAGCTTTTTGTGTTGTTTTTCGTGTGTTACACTCTCGATCCACCAACAGACATGTGATACATGCATAATTACCTGTGTTGTACTTGTTGTTGTTTGATTTTGCGTACTAACCCCGAGTTTTGTGTGTGTTTTGTCCACATTTTGTTCATTTATTTGTTAACGTTATTGTGAGTTGTTGTTGTCGTCGGAACGCCCACAAAGACGGTCAGCAGCTGCAACAACCACAGCAAACAACAGTAGTAAGCCATACACTCGTATAACATCAAGAAAGCGCCTCCAGACCAACCAACCACAAACCAACACCAACACCAACATTTATTTGCTACTCCACAACCGCCAAAATGAAACAAAAATAACTCATCAGCAATATTATTTCTCCTCTTTTTCTTTGACCCGTCTTTATTCCCTGAACCCGAACTTTAGTTGGCAACATCCGTTTGAGTAACAGCGCCGAGTCCATTCAGTATGCAGCCCGACGACCGGTCGCCAGTCTTGGCCTCAACTCCGGCCTTGGAGGCGTCACTACCACCACCACCAGCAGCAGTACCCACAATCCCACCACCCGGCGGCTGCTCATCAGTGTGCCGCGCCAGTATCGATCCTCGCTGCGGCGCAACAAGGAGAAGCAGATCGGCGGCAATAGTCAGAGCAACAGTAGCAATAGCCTGGGCAGTGATCAGTTGACCGGCAATCCTGGAGCAGCCGGAGGATCGTCCGGTCTCGGTGTTCCGGTGCTAAACAAGCCCCTGCTGATGGTCGGTCTGCTGCCAGGCGCCGAACAGCCGCCGTCGGTGCGGAATTCCATTGCCGAGTGCGGCATCTCCACGCCGGATGCCATGGATGTGGGTGTGGAGTGCAGCACCACGCTGAGCTTCAAGCCGCCGCGGCTGTAACAAGGACAACCGTCAATTGAACCGAGAGCTGAGGATTCCCCACCCCCCAGGACATCCGGCATAAAACCACTCTAGATCTAACCATTTTTAAGTGAAAACCATTTTTTAATACGTACACTTCCCACACAAACAAAAACACACAGAAAAACGGGGGTATCAAATCGATCTCTGGAGAATTAAGGAAACCATATGTTAAAAAAAAAAAGTATAAAACTGGTTGGTGCAGCAAAAATCTGGCAGAAGGTGTGCACTGATGCAACCGCTGCACCGTTTACAACCAAGTTTAACTTTCAATAACCACTGTTATTGTTAAATCTCTAGAGATTACCGTGACAACCCAAGAACATCATATATGTTAGGTTATGGTAAATATATGTATTTAATGTGTATAGCAAGAAAAGGCTGATTTTCTTTAGTTAAACAAACAAAACATAAAAAAAAAACCAGAAAAAACGAACGAATTAAAAGAAGAAATGTACAACTTAAACTAACTATATAATGCAACAAATTGCCAAATTTTATTCATTTCGTTGTGTGAATTAGGTTGATTTTACTTTATGTTTTAGCCAAGAATCTCCTAAACTTAAACATTGTCAAGGTAAAAATAAACGAAGTTTTCACCTGATCGCAAACCGAAACAACGATACAAAAAGCAGAAGAATTTCTTAGCTCTGTAACATCTGAACAATCCAACCAATCGATTTCGAGACCGACTCTCTGTCTTTTTAAGAACCATTACAAAATACTACTTATAAGCTATCCGAAATTTAAAATAATCAAATGAACAGAGCCCCTTTAATGCAATCATAGACCCAAACTAAATATTACAGATTTACATTCATTTTTGATACAGACAAGTACAAAAGCAAAACTAAACAGAAACCAATCGAAAAATATCTAATATATATTCTACATTATTCTTACAAAGATAAAAGCAACAAATCGTAGCATTTAATATATAGTTAAGCGTTTTCAAATTATACTTGTAATTGCGAACGGATATCAATTTCTAATGATGTTATCGTTAATAGTGCTATGTGTACATATATTCGTGAATGTCTATGTGTCCAAAATATATATAATATGTATATTTACTACACGATATGCAAAAACAGCCCTTCCTGCGGGAAATCAGAACTAACAAACGAAAGCTAACACAAAACGAGGTAATTCCAATTTGTATAGAAACCGATTTATCGATCCCTGAACGACTAGTTTTAAATAGTTCCAATCCAAGTATACGGTCTGCTGGAGGTCCCTTTGGACCCAAAGCAGATCTATTTCCACTGCCCCGTCACTTAGAAAAGTTCTGTTTCCCCCTCATCCCAGACTTGGAGATTTTTCAGTCAAAATTGAAAAATTCTTTGCGAAGTTCGAGAACGAAACAATTTCCTCGCTGTGTTTTGCCACATTTGGTGTGTTTGTTAAATTAAATTTACATAATTAATCTAAATGTTAGCTAAGGAAATAAAACGAGTGTAAAAACATACCACTTATTTGGCCATTTCATACGTAGTATGAAACGCATCCATTAATTATAAAAACTAGTTCATAAAGCTCTGAATGTTGCCCAGAACATAGGAATAAAAAAAAAAAACCAAGAAACACCAATTTGTTGATTAGCAAAAGAAGAAATACTTTATTGTATCGACATCATTTTTATTGCTGTATATTGTAGGCTATAAGCTATAAAATATATAATTGTATAAATCTTACAGAGTACGAGTTCGAGTGAAGTACATTCATTAGCCACTAAAACCTATTACATAAATATAAAACGTATTGTAAATGATGACGGAAAGGTTATAGATGTACGCTATATTTACTGAGCAGGATCTGTTCCATACAATTTCAAGTGCATAATGCATTTCGAATACATTTTTCAAATATTTTTTGTAATAAAATTTTATTATTTTTTTGATTTACCCCATTTTTTTGAGACATTTTCCATTTTGTGAAAGTTGCACTTTAAGAAATTCTGTATACAATAAAAAAAAAATAGAAACCAGAAGAGAAAAGAATCATACATATAATGTAACTAATTACTGAATGGAAAAAAATAAATAATTTAATTGAAAAATTAAAAAGGGCGGGCCTGGTCTTAGTTATCTTAAATGCTAAACTTACGAACACATATTTGGTCAGAAGTTGCGGCTTAAGTTTGGGCCCTAAATTTGACTGACAATTAACGCGGAGATTCCAATTAGAAAGATTTTTACTTTTTTGTTCGATTGATCGATTTCTCAATGTCATGTTAGGGTTATAGTTTGTAATCTGTCAAAGAAAATCCGATTAACTCGAACATGATATTGAGAAAATAGTTTTTTTTTAATTCAGCAATTAGCTAAACTTAATATTGTTTCGTGTAAGCTTGAAGAATATATATTTGTTTTAAACAAAACCTTATTAAAAGTGATAACCAGAAATGTTTTGTTGGCATGTGTTTTGCAAAGTGTTTTAGTCTTTTCCATATTTCTCTAAGCAATGGTTTGGAATTTTACAAAATACTTTGTGATTTGATGGTTCATATTAGGGTTTTGGAATCTAAAACTATTGATTTTAAAGCTCCAGGCTTGGGATAAGTCGAGTAAAGTAACTTGTCAGTCCATAAATTTAGGGCCTTAGCTAAAAGCCTAATTGTACAGAGCTCTGTCCACTAAAATGCCGTGTTCGATGAGGAAACTCTCGACATCGGAGGCAAAGAAATCATCGCTGAGATCATCGGTTAGCCGCACAAAGTTCCCGATGACCGCTTGAGCCTTGTAGACCAGCAGAGCGGGTAGTCCCTTGGTGCGGAAATCCCGGCTCATTCCGGCCACGGAGCTGCAGATCTTGGCGAACTTAATGGACGGATAATCGCTGGCCAGGCTGTCCAGGCATTTGTTCAAAGTGGTGCAGGCGGCCAACTGTCGTTCGTAGATGTGGATGATGATGGTGGTGTGCTTGTTCTCCTGCTCCACGCAGGCCAGGAATTCCCCATGGGTGCTCAGCTGTTGCACCTGGCCAAACTGCTGGTGGTGTCCCGTCTGGCGCAGCATCTCGGCCATCCGCTGCTTCTGGTATTGCTGCAGGAAGTCCTCGCTCATCAGTTCGTCCAGCTCGGCGTCCAGCTCCTCCTGCCGCTTGCGCTCCTCATCCTCCGCCGCCGTGGCCGTGGTGATGGTCAGCTTCTTGGCCAGCGCCAGCCGTTGGCGCTCCGTTTCATCGCGGCGCTCCGCTTCCAGCTGCTTGAACCGCTGCCAATCCTTGACCACGCCCTTGGGACCAGTGTTCGTGGAGCCCTGCTGCCGGAATCCCCCAGCCGGAGTCGCATCCGGATTTGTGTCGATGGTCAGGCCGGAGGACCGCGATTTACCCGCGGCCCCCTTGGAGTCATCGCCCTCGTCTCCGTTGTCCTCGCCCTCGCTGCTGCTGCAGTAGTACTCCAGTTTCTCACCCAGTAGTTTATCCTCCAAGGTGGCCATTGTTGCTAATTACCGAGTTTTTATTTTTAATTTACAATTTAATTAGTGTTCTAGTGATGGGATAATGACTATTGGTAGTATCGATAAATATATCGGTGTTTCTTCTGTCGATAGTAGAAGGCTTATGATATGATCGTATTTCCTGAAATCCATTTAGTATTTTTCTGGGATTTTTAAATTGTTAGTATATTTTTTAATATTTGGGTAGTAGTTTCATAACGCGCCAAATTTAAAATTGTTTTAAAAGTTGTTAATTATAAACAAAGCTAATAAAACTTTTTCTTAACGATGAATTGGTGATGATTTTAAGTAATTTATACCCGATGAATTGGTTCTGATTTGGTGCTGATTTTAGGTTTTTTTTTTACTGATGTTTTGGTTATGATTTTATGATGATTAAAGTGATGATTTGAGGTTTTTTTTCTAATGGATTAATGATGATTTGGTGATTTTGTGATGATTCGAGGACTTCTGCTTTAAACTATTTATTTATTTATTAAACTTTGTTCCTTTCCCAATGTGTGCCAATTAAAATGTATGTAATTACTATTTAATGAAATTTAAAATAGCAGAAATCTTAAAGGAATAAATAGATTCTTGCAATTATGAATCATTTGAAATTTTACTCATGTTTAACTCAATACCTAGTTTTATGAGTTTTTCGTATTATGTTAAAGATTTCCTTGAGCTTTTCAGGCACTGCAAAGTCGGGCATTATCTGTTCCATGCTGTTGAAGTCAGCTTTTTCCAACTCGTCGCACGAATCTTCCGATCCCGACTCATCGGCCAGCGCCAATCTTTCGGCGAATGAGACGATTCCGCACCAGGCTCGAAAGTCCAGGTCGCCCGATCCTTGGGCTTCGTAGCCCAACATTCTGAGAGTACCTTGAACATTCTCCTCGGTGCCATGAAACTCCAGGACATCCTCTAGTGCTTGCGGTAGGCTCTGCCAGACGAGGGTTCGTTCCCTGTATTTATATTCCGGCAGATCATCATTTCCATTTCCCATGGCCGCCAACTCACTTTCTGGCTCCTCGATTCGACTTAGATATTTCAAAAACACACGCTTATAAAGCTGTTTTCGCTGTTGCGAAACCCAGACAAACTTGCTTAAATAGTCCCAGGGTGTCATATCTGTTAGATTATTTTTGATTTAACTTATTGTTAAATACAATTTTGGATTTACTTACTTTTTAGCATAGAAAGATCCATGGGTACATCAAATCTCGTTGCAGATTTTGAGAATTTTCGGGGCATCTTGGATGTGCTTTCTGGGGCAACTTTTTCTTCGTTTATTTTCGGCACAGTTTTGGGTTTCGGTGGCATGTACTTAATTGCTTCCCTAAGAGCTCGATTAAGCTAAAGTTATTTAATTAATTTATATAATGTTTATAACTAAATAGATAGATAAACGCTTACATATCTTCCAAAGGTGTTTTCTATAAGATCCACGTCGAGATCGGTTTTAAGCGCCTGAAATGCTTCATCGGTTAGGAAACTTCCTTTCAAAAGGATTGGCTCCCGTTCCGTTTCCCGTTTGTCCTTGGGCAGCAGAGTAAGTGAGTTGGGTATCAAACTGGGTCTGGTACTGGGATTAAGTGAGTCGGGTCCCAGAGCAGCCACCTGAGTCTCGGGATCCTCACTTAGATGAAATGTGGTGGTGGCTTCAATTCAAACAAGGTTACAATTAAGGCAAACATAAAATATGTGTCATTGTAAACTTTCATTGTTAAGCTATTAAAAAAAAAATTGCTTGAGCAAATTCCACAATGTCTTTTGACAATAATTTCTTAATAATTTGTAAGCCAAATGTTCGGTGTGTCAATATTATAATATCAAAGATAAACAGCTCATAACGAGGTAAAAATATCGTGACAATCGCACCTTCGATATTTCTGATATCTTGTTATTGTTTTACCTTCATACATATACAGGTATTTCTCCTCGTGTACTGAATTCACCTAAGCTTAATTGTTTAAAAATGCTTATAAACACAAAATTTGTATTCGAATTTTGGTTGTTGTTTTTAATTGTTGTTAATAATAATTTCTTGTCAGGTCTTTTTTACAGGTCTTGAAAGTATTTTTCAGCTTAATACAAATCTTATTATATTTATCAAACCAAATTTATGATTCATACTTCCAAAAGTGACTTCTTAGCGTAAAATGTTATAAGCTAGCGGTAAAAAATCATGGTTTTTTAGTCCCAAAAAAAAATGTAAAATATAAATGCGTTTAGCATTTTCTAAATAGTTTATATAATTAAAACATATAAGTAGCATTAAAATTTAAATAAAATTTGAAAATATTTCAGCAAGCAAAAAGGACAACAATTTTCACTTTTAACATCCCAAACAAAGCTTCATTATAAAATATCAAAAAATTATCAAAAGATGTCGAGACAAGAACATTACAGCTCGAAATATTTACTTGCACACTTTCACCGCTACTTCTGTTGAAGCAATATATATATATATATATATATTCGATATGTCAGGCACCACAAAACTATAGTCCTACTTGGTTACCCACCTTGAGCTGGCTTCAGCTTCTTTCGTTTCTTGCCCCTGCGAACATCCTCGTCGCTCAGTTCGTGCTCATTGATGCAGGTCTTGGGCTTGACCTCCAGTTCAATGGTGGCATCTCCTCCTGGAGCCAGATTAGCCGTGGCCAGCGAGGATTTGGGCCTTTGCTCGTTGGACGACTGCCTCTTTGGCTTCTTGTCCTCGTTGGCACCGGCACTCTTGGGCTTTTTGTCCTCCTCCAAGCCGCTTTGGGTCAGCTCCGAACTGGGCTTCCAGTAGAGCGTCTCCTGGGAGTGGGATCGCCTGAGATCCAATATGATTTTCTTTCGCTTAATGTTCTCATGTTTGCCCCATTCGGGCGTTATGCAGCGACGATAAAAGGAGCCGGCACTGGTTCTGGTATGGATGCTCGTCACCGTGGGTGTTGGCGTCATTGGTCGCGAGTCCGTTTCCGCATAGCGCCGGAACAGATCCTCCGGAATGTTATCCGCCTCATGTGGCTGCAGTTCCGGCTCCTCGGGAATCTTGTCTGGTTTCTGCTGACTTTTGCCCTCAATCGCCAGCGATGTCTTCAGCTGATTGATCACATCCTTAACCCCTGATGGAGCCGGATGGTTGCACAGCACCGAGCATCCCTTGGCAAACGGATTAAAGAGTCCGCCAAAGGGGCGTAACGAAAGCGGCATGGGCGTGGCCTCAAACTTGAGCGGCATTCGCGAGACATCGCCATGATGATTTTTGCGCTGTATTTAAAAGTCTTTTCTTGATTATCTCGTGCAAAATAAAAAAAAAATACAATTTTTTTGTTTATTATTCACTTTTTCAACTACATTAAAAAAAATGTCTAGTGTTTAATGATTAAGTAAGTAATGAATTAAGTAATTAATTCAATACTAAATAATGTAACCCCTAAACTTAAAACCACCGAAAACATTTCTTAAAATCACTTAAGTTTTATTTTAATAATTTAAATATTTTATTATTAAGAAATTTTGATATTTGTTTATGAAACCCAAAATCTAAAAGTAATGTAAGATTAGTTTAGTTTCTATGACTACATTTTTTTTTGGTTGTAAGTAAAAATTGTTATAATCGACGAGTATTTAATATTAAATATTGAAGAAAATATTTTAAACTGTTAAAAAAAACAACTAAAATTATTAAAAACTATTTAACATAATTTTAGAAGTGGGTATAAAAAGAACTTCTTGGACCACGTAAAATATATATATATATATATATATATATATATATATAAATCATAACCATGACACGAGTAAAGTGTAACATTTAAAAGCCTTGAAGAACAAATAAAACTGAATGACAAATTAAACACTTAATCAAGAATTGCTTTAATATTATTGTACAGTCTGGATATATCATTCCACCGCCTTGAATATTTACATTACCTTTTTGAGATACTTGACATGCCTCTTGGGCGTGGGAACCAATCCAGTACGTGTTGTGGCGCTCATTGCTGCCGTTAAAATAAACTCTGAGTATCGAGTATGCCGACAAAAGCCGGGGTATCCATAAACAATGCGTTCTGTTTCCATGGCTATCAGCGGTGACGCCAATAAGTTCATTTGCCTTTATCGATTTTAAACGGTTTCCTTACCAGTAAATAAACATTTTTTTGAAAAAAACCTAAATCAAAACATATTTCTAAATTTTAACCATAAGCAATTGTAAACTCTTAGTTAATTTTAATCACATATTTTAAACCTGACAACAAATAGTTTTGGCAATAACTGCCAAAACTAATGTTGATCTGTGGTTTCTTTGAAAACTAAAAAATATATAATATCATAATTTTAAATACACTCCTGACAAAAAACACTCTATAAAAATTTTGTTTTTCTGAAACACTGAATTGCAAAAATGTTATTAAGCTAACAATAATAAATTGATTTTTTTATTGAGCTTTATAGTTTTTTATATAACTAACCAAGAAGTTTTAGGAACTTGCATTATCTCTTACTGATATTCAATTATCAATGTAAGTGCGGTTGTGTTCTAAAACCTTAATCAACCAGTTAACTATAATTATAGACAGAATCAAAGTTATTAAAGGCAACATTTCAAATAACCCCCAAAAATATCAAAAGCATAAAATAACGTATGTTTATTGTGTCTGTGTCTTAAAACTAACAACTCTTGGGGTTTGGGAATAACATGAGGAATAGACTTTAGGAAGGAATAGTGAGGCAGTTGGAATGCTCGAAGGGGATTCTCTAGTAGAGGGAACCGCGATGATGCAAATGCCTGAGACGTTGATCCAGCAACTGGCGTTCGTTGGACAGTGAAATGGTCGAGGTGGAGCGGTGTAGGGCGGGCAGAATGGCGGCTCCATGACCACCGTGACCACCCGATCCGTGCACGGCGGCGACAGTGGGCCCTGCCTCCGATGGACCACCACCCAATCCGGCGGTATTGCCCACCGCCCGTGAGCGCAGCAAGTGATTTCGGAGCGGCGATTGCCGGCGCACCGAGTTGTTGAATGAGATCTGCAGGGAGAGGCGTTTCTGGGACAGCGAGGCCAGGTGCTCCGGCGACAATTCGA